CTAGTAGCGTCCTTGCTCCTAGTAGTAAGGCCAGGAGCCCCTAGTAGCGTCCTTGCTCCTAGTAGTGAGGCCAGGAGCCCCTAATAGTGTCCTTGATCCTAAAAGGCCCATACTCCAAAGTTTTGATATCTAGATGCCTGCTTTGAGGATATGGTGTAGGATGCAGTGGATGTAGCCATCGTTGCTTTAACGTGTTCCTTCTGTTCGTTCTCCATTTGTTATTACTCTTGGTACTCTTTGGTTGAATAGTTGTTCATGTTCTGTCCCTCTTCTTCAAGACTCTTGCCCATGTCTTATGCTGAGACGAGCAATCGAAAGACATCAAAAGACCACATTGTTGAATTGAGAACTTGAGCAACCCACGGAAGTGAAACTGTGGAGGAAACTTGTGAAAGAGCTGAAACCATCCAGAAATTTGTGAAGAGCATAGTGAAAAGGTGAAATGGTAGAATGCAGCAAAACAAATTGCAAGACTCGGCTGCATGAGATTGACCTAGACATTTGCGCAAGGTTTTGTTCGGTGAACTGGCTGGAGTTGAAGTCAAGGATTTTGTACAAAGACCCCCAGGCGACAGTCTGCGACTCGAAAACAATCTCCGTCGGGTCTGAATGTGTCCGAGCCAACCTGCCCAACCTGCCCTCCAGGTTGCATCTTTGGGCCGAATTGCAGTCTTCATGCCCACCACGTGGGACCTTCCCAGTGAGAGTGTTTGATTTTGGGGAAGCTGAGCCGACTTATTGGATAGAAGATGACGAAAAAAACAAGTTTGCTTGATGCCTAGAAGAAGAACAAGGGCTCGGGTGTATGAAAACGATCCTTGCTGCTTCTTAGGTTGACATTTTTTGAGGTGTTTGGATGTGCTTGGGGGAGGGTAGAACAAGAACTTTACTTCAACGCCCTTTTCGATCCAGCCTCGAAAGGTCTCAAGGTCTGCAGAAAATAACACTGAAAGACTCTTGGTTTATTCGGTTGAGTTCTGGGTGCTACTCGTATTGGGTAGGAGGCCATCGCTCCCGGTTTCGGTTCATCGACGTTGATCGTCCCGAGGATTCAGCTCACCAAGTTGATAGTTCTCAGCTGGGCGCTGGGCATCCCAGCAGACGGCATCGTCATTGCCGCAGCGCTCAGCACCCAGGAGCTTGGCAGGGTCATAGTCGGTCGTGACGCGTGACAGCATGTCATAACGCAAACTTATGAGTGTGACAACTGATACGTCTCCAACCGGAGACTTGCTTGTCACATCAATTCTTGCTGGGGAAGTGCCTTCCCAAGCTTGCTTGGGGATTCTGCTCGCATGGCTCATGCAGGGTTTGGTTTGGCAATGTTCTTTTTCGCCAGAGTAGAAGAAGTATTGGAAACCCAAGAGGACAATCACAACAATCTCAGACCAGTAGGCCGTCCAAGATGCTCCCACATGACTCTACACTTGCAACTTTGCTGGTGGAATGCAGATTCCCTTGAGGATGTTTTCAAAATGGCGGCCCCCGCTAATTGCCGCAACCTTGAGGAGCGAATGTGCCTTCGGCCGGTGGAGCATTTCAACCAAAGTGGACACATGTGGACACGCTAAGATTCCGTGCAATCTTGAGATCAATCACCTTGAACAAGTTCTTTGATTTATATTTACATTGACATGACTGACCTGTTTGTAACCCGGCTACAGTGCTTCTTTTGCCCAAGCAAATTCACCTTTAGCCGCACTGCAAAGTTTTCTCTCAACAATGTGTGAAGAAAGTCTGCCTTTGGTCAAAGAGTGCCACGGGGAGACTAGCAGAGGCTCGGGTATCAATATAGGTAAGACATGGAAGTTCATGGAAGAGCACCTCACAGACATGCTTTTGCAGCGCCTTGCGGCAGCCATGCAAAAGGGGCAATGTCCCTGGCTGCATCGCCACCATTCTTTTGAAGCCTGGAACACTCAAGGACTAGACATCTGGAGCCTGTATTTGGCAGGTTTCACGGCCGCACTAGGCCACTTGGCTTCAAAGCCAAAAGCTGAAAAGCAGGGCCCTGCAGCGTTTCTTGTGTTGCGATTCCTTGTGCCAGAGCATCAGCAACCCTCCGGAACCATGCAGGGTGTATTTCCGTGTGCTGAGAAGGTTCCAGGCACCACAATGCGCTTGCCGCTTGCAACATGCCAGGGCCTTCCAACATCATCCGTCAACATCATAGCAGCTCAGTGCAGCTTAGTTGGAGGCCATCGCTCCTAGGTTGGAGGTGCAGCTCAGTGCACCCTTTCAGGCACCGACGTCAGTCAGGTGAGAAAACATCCGGCAAGAGCGATGCTAATGCTGATGCCCTGCTGGCCCTGCTGTCGCTAAAATCTATATCCAACACAGCGGTCGAAGTAGAAGCACAAGGAAACAAACTGCATTGTCACACAGGCTTATGCCCTCTTTCATCGGGAGAGTTGCTAAGGGTACTAAGCCACCTCGCACATCCAGGGCACATCGCATCATCGCATTATTTCATGTCACATAATTCTCCCAGCGAACCGATATATATTCTGTGGCCGTACTCAGCTCCATTTGCGCGATTTTTTTTTTAAATGTTGAACTTATCAACCATTCGTTGACATTATGACTCCATTTGGGCTTAGGAGGACAGGGCGCACAGCAGAGAAGTGACTTTTTGCGAAAGCCTCGATTCGCGGCTCTGTGAAATATCAGCAGCGAATCAGTGGGTCAGTGTGAATCGTATCGGCTTACCGTTGCCCTCGGGGTTCAACAAACTTCGCAAGCGTCCTGCCTTACTTGATTGGCGCTTTTTGCTTAGGTGCATGAACCACATTTGTCCGTTTCGGCAGCTGCTTTGCAACGTGCGCTTTGTTGCCCACCAGCTTCCACCTGGCAGTTGCAGGGATCCTCAAAAAGCTAGTCAGGAAATCCCAGTGGTAGTTGTGAAAATCTTCCAAATACAGTCAGCTTAATGAGTGGAAGGCGCGGTCAGGTGCAGTATAGAAATTTGTCGGGCAAAAACACCTGCTCTTCAGGCCATGTAAGCCTTGTGCATGCCTTTTGCCTTTAGAAGCTTCACTGGACTGCATGTTCCATGGTTCCATGTGACTTTCCACATCAGATCTGTGACGCCTTCCAATGTGGTTGACCATGGGATGGGGTCGCAAGTCTTGGAGCCGCTGTTGAGTTTGGTAACGATCTTCCAGTGTGGACATCACGCCTGATCAACGTCCATGCAGACGTGTCGAAATGACTTGTTGATACTCTTTGTGCGGTTACCAAGAAGCTACTAGGAGCAAAGGGCATCGCTACTAAGAACAAGAAGCTACTATTGCTAGGGGCTCCTGGCCTCGCTACTAGGCTGTGCAATCAGGAACGGCATGATCCTCCAACCTACTAGCGATGGCCTCCAACCTAGACCTATAAAATTTGGTGACGGCATGTGACGGTCTATTGGATTCTGGTTCATCCTGGTGAGGTTTGCGTGAAGGGGCTAGAAGAGGTATATCTTCTAAAGAGGTCACCGGAACACTATCGACGCGGTCTTGGGACCCTGAGACTTCTAACGTCATGCGGTATATATGTTGCCTGGGGACAAGCGCATGTAGGTAAGGTTGCGCTTGTTATGTGTGATAGGGAGTGCATCTTTCTAACAACTTCCGTTTCCTCAAATGTCGTTATCCTTCATGTGTTGTGTTGTTCAATCTACTTTCAACTCGTTGATCCGTGCTTTGGCGACCAGGCTTTTTGAATGCAGTGCAATGTCAGGATACATGTTGTTTGATGCATTTTGATACCGTTTCTTGTGCAGTCCACTGATACAGTGTTTGCAGGACTTTCCTGCCCATCTCTCGCACAACTACATCACCCGAGCCCGCTTTGATGCGGGGCAGTTCTCGGAACCCATCATGTGACCCTGTGACGTCGATTCTTTGGGGGTTTCAGGGAAGTCTAGGTCTAGCTAGGTCAAGTACAAGATATGGCCAGGCAACAGACGTTTAGTGTCGCTTAAAAAAACTAGGCACCAAACCATTAGTGTGAGCGCTTCTTCAAGGAAGCTCCCCCCCGGGGAGCTTCCTTGAAGAAGCGTGAGCTATCCTGCGTCCAGTAGTCAATAGCTTAATGTAGCTCAAGTAGCTAGGAGCGTCCAGTAGGCGCCTGCTTAATTAGGTAAGGAGGCAGGGCCACGGGCAAACAAAGAAACGGTACTACCCTTCGCATGATCCAAACAATTCCTGGTTTGCTCTTCAGGAAGATCAGCTTTTGGTATGTGAACACCAACATTGTGTGCCTTAGACTTTAGATCTCTTGTTATAGATGTATTTCCGGCTCATCATCGTAGCACAACATAGGACATCCCGCAGCAACCACGAGAAAGTGCGGAGTGGATTTTTTTTTGTACTTGTACAACTTGTTGAAGAGCTGTAGGATGGAGATGGAATTTGCCACGGGGAAAATGTATGGACTCATGGTTGCAGCTGTTGCAAACTCACCAACTGCTGCCAGGTATCGCAACTTGTACAAAGAGTACCTGCAAGTGCCGAAAAGTAATGTTCCTTAGCCGCACAAGACAGCTGAAGACAACCACTGTTCAAAAGTTTCAATATCACACAATATCACCATGCCATTGCTTCTAGGGTGGAGGCCATCGCTAGTAGGTTGGAGGCCATCGCTTGTAGGGTGGAGGTGGAGGCCATGGCTTTTAGGGTGGAGGCCATCGCTTTTAGAGTGGGGGCCATTGTAGGTTGGAGGCCATCGCTTTTAGGGTGGAGGCCATTGCTTTTAGGGTGGAGGCCATCGCTAGTAGGTTTGAGGCCATCCCTTTGAGGGAGGCCATCGCTAGCAGGTTGGAGGCCATCGCTTTTAGGGTGAAGGCCATTGCTTTTGGGTTGGAGGCTATCGCTTTTAGGGTGGAGGCCATCGCTTTTGGGGTGGAGGCCACTGCTTTTAGGGTGGAGGCCATTGCTAGTAGGTACTGGAGTACTCCTATTGACTATTGAGATAGAAACATATTTTTCAGTTCCATCCCAGACCCAAGACTTCAAGTCCTTCGAGCCCTTGCCCCAACCGGCTGGATACTGTAGGCTCGGCAATACCACCAGTGGTTGGATGAATGCTGCGTGTCTGTAAGTCGTCGTGCCGGCAAGTTTTGGAGCATTGTGAGATATTGGATTGGGAGTATGAAGCACACCATTGCTCCTAGTAGCGTCCTTGCTCCTAGTAGCGATGCCAGGAGCCCCTAGTAGCGTCCTTGTTACTAGTATGAAGTACGCCATTGCAGTTACGTTATTTTGAGGTGGAAATACACCATCGAAGGTCAAGAAAAGAAGGTCAAGGTGTACTGTCTTGCCTTTGACATGCAAACAAGCTCGTATTCACGCTGCGGCACTGCAAGGCATGAGCCAGTTCGCTGCCCTGGTTGTAGAGCTCGCCGCGAAGCTTGGGGCAGCGGTGCCCAGCGCGAAGGTGCCTCTGAGTCTTGAGAACTTTAAGAAGACTTTATCAAGGACCATGAACATCATGAGTTGGAGGAAATTTGTGAAACTTTACCGAGTCCCTCCAAGAATCCCCGAAAAGCCCAGAGTTTAGGGCTTGGTGCACTGATGTGAAAGCACGTTCCAGCACCTTTGGAGGGATTCTGGACATTTGGCTTCAGGCATGTCGTAGAAGTGAGTTAAATCGGCTAAAACGTGGCCCACAAGTCTTGGTGCATGCCGCTGACACACGCCCTAGGTGAGCATGAATGTAGCTTCAAATGTGTTTCAATCAAGGGTTGCCAAGCATGTGTAGGTCAACTGCAACTGCATTCCTCACGGAGCCTGGTTGTTGCATTGCTGTTTGAATGTCCCTCCAGCAAATCAAGACTGGCCCCGACAGCTTTCCACATGGTTGAGTTGCAGGCTCATAAATTCACACACACGAACTACAACAGGAAGTGGACCCACCTGCAAGGTGTGCACAAAGGCCAAATGTATCGAAATATTGAAAGCTTCTGAAAGTATTTGCACAAAGGCCAAATGTATATTCCTGAGGTGGGCTGCCGACTTTGATTGTCTAGGTACGCTCTTATAGGGTACAGGAAAAACTGAAAGGCATCTTTGCTTCAGAAATGCCAGATGGTTCTACTCTCTTTGGCCCAGCGCCTTTGTGTTTGACAATGGCCGCTATAACGCTGCGCCCAGTGTCGCGCTGTGCCGAGCACGCCCCCATGTCGGAAGCCAGGCTGGAGGGCTAGGGCGTTCAATTCCTGCAGTGATGTCGCTCTTGGTTTGCTACTCTTTGTATACGTTGCCTCACCCCTGTTTGCTTTGTCAAGCACACAATTGACTATTTCTAAGGTTTGTCCCATTACCTGTAACAGTCGGTAAACGATTATCACAATTTTCGATCAAGGCCTGTACTAACCGCTAACCATGATCGTCCACGGTTACTAGTAATGTAATTTTAATTCAATATAATTGCTCAATTTGTGTTTTTCTTCTCGTTCTGGTTGGCATTCCACCCGAATGGGTATTGAAGCAACATTGGTTGCAGCTTTCCTGTTCTTCTGATTAGAACATGCTATTCACTTTTTGCGTTTTACTTTGTGATTTCTTAACAGGCTTGGAAGGGTGGAAACGCGCTGATGTCAACTCGACTAGCTGTTCTTTTTAGAATTATACATTGCTTAAAACTGTTTGACTTGCCTTCCTTTTGCATGATGTGTAATCCAATGTGTTATTCCAACTAGTTATGTTGGCGGAAACAATAGAAACCTGTGGAGTCATTGCCGAAACAGAGTTATGAATCCTGCTACTGCTGCTAACTGTATCTCTTTCGATTTCCTCAGGAAGGCGCCGATGCGCAGCTTCCGCTGCCCTGGCAGGGCTGTCTTAGTGGCCAGCTCATTTGTGGTGAAGGCTCACGTCAACTTCAGGGAAAGTCACAAGAAGGTCACAAAAAAACCGGAAAGGAGTCAGCACAAAAGGAGCAACGTCCTGCATTTGGTTCCATTCAGTTTACCTTCCATGCGTCAGACGTCACAGATTTGTTTAAGTTCATGGAAGGTCAACTCAGCTTCTACAAGAGAAGATGATGCCCCTTTTGCTTTAATGTGCCTTTCGGAATGTTTCTGCTGACGATGCTTTGCAAGATCCTTTGCACGCCGTGTTGTGTCGCATGCTTTTTCGACAGGCGGTTCTACGCACCTCTTGTAGAAGATTTGTGGCCAGGCGGTTCCCAGAGTGGTTGCAGCCAGAACCTGTGCACCTTGCCTGTGGGAGATAGGAGCGGAGAGTTGTCGATGCTTGCGCCACAACTCCAGTCAGATTGCTGTGGGCCTCTGAATAACTTGTGGCTGTCAGACTCTTCAAATGTTTGATACTTTTCAATACTGCTGTGCAACACGCAATACCTTCTGCCCCTTTCACAAAGAAATACTGCTTCACCTGATTTCACCTGTCTTGCAAAAGAGGTGTTTGGGTTGTTGCTTTGGAGGCTTTGCATGGTGCTGCATCGTAGCTGAGGCCTGTTGAGAGCTGGAACGAATTCCTTGGGCAGCTGCACGATCGACAACCTTCAGTGCTGAAAGGGTACGGCCGCTTGACCAAGTTCGACAACATCTCAAACAATCTCAACAGCACCTTAAAACATGCGAATGGTTTGTGAACCTATTGTTTGTGAACTTATATATGTGATTTGAGAACCTGTGTGAACCCACTGTTGATGAGGGCTAGCGTATGCTGATTGCAACACCTTGAGGTTCAGATGTGGCGGAGAAGTGGAACTTCGAGTACTTGGAACGTTACTTTGAGATAAGAACAGAGCCTACGATAGCCTACGCAGCCTCAGAAGATCTGAGTCCAAGTGTCAAGGTGTCCTTGTCGTCGACTTGTCGTTAGGAGTATTCGGTGCGGTGGTTGTTGTAGTTCATCGAAAAACTCCTTGAAAGGAGGCCTTCGCTACTAGGGTGGAGGCCATCGCTAGTAGGTTGGAGGCCATCGCTTCTAGGTTGGAGGCCATTGGAATTAGGTTGGAGGCGCAGTGGTTGTTGCAGCTAAGCATCAAAAATCTCCTTGAGAGGAACGCTTCATTTTTCTTTGGCCCAAGACATGGGAGCTGCAAGGGCTAACCAAGCCGAGCCAGTCGAGACAGTCGAGCCAGAACTCAGGCCAAATGAGTGGCTCCAATTGGCGGGTGCATTTGGTGCCCAAAGAGAACCAGCGCTTTCAGAGAGTATACGGACAAGGCACCAACCTTTCACCAATCAAATGGAAAAGGACATTGTTCAGAGATTACAAGGCCATTTGGTTTCAAGTTGCCAGAGACTGAAGGCCTGCCTTTGTGCGTGTGTGAGTACAACAGCGGGTCCTTGTCCCGAACTCCGGATCAACATCTCAACACTTTTCCAGCCTTTTGCATCCTCTTGCCAGAGGCATTGCCGCTCCCACCAAAGCTCAAGTGTTTGTATAGCGCTGTCGCATGCAATGTGAGGCATTGGTGAAGGCTTGGTTTCTTTGATGAGCTTCCCAGAGTTCGCGAAGAAGAGTTTGGCTGCTGACAGCCAACATTCCTACTACATGCTTCATGGCCAAAAGAGATGCTTGAAAAAACCATGAATGCGGTCCCCAGCTCATTTGCGTGAAAAATATAGCACATCTGAACCAAGCAGCAAGTGTAGAAACTGAGGCAAGTGCCGTATACTGGACGTCCGTTGCAAGAGCTGGGCAACTTTGGTGCACGTGAGATTTTCAGAGAGATAGTTTCTGTGTGGAGACGAACCTAGGTTTACACAAGGGTTTCACTCCTCAGGTGGCTTAACAAAATTGAATGCTCCAGCTTTTGTTGTAAGTGAGTCTTTCAGGTCTTGAAGTTGACAATTATATGTATCTACATATCTTGACATGTTGATTTAATTTACCATGTGACAGATACGTACCGATACCGTGATACCTCTAGAGGCCTCACATTCTTTGCTTCGGTTCATAGTATGCTCTTCTTGAGCGTTCTCTTTAAGGGGGTCTTCAGTGTTTGGGCTGGGTTTTAATTCTTCCCTGTGTTTTTTTTTTCGCCCTTTGTGGACCTGGTGGTTTCAGACAAGTAGGCTACTCAGAGGATTGTTTTTCTGCCCAGAGGATTGTTTTTCTGCATCCTGCTCTGCAAGGGTTTCTTTTCTGCCCTGCAGGGGTTTCTGTATTTTCTGCCCTGCAGGGGTTTCTTTCTTGCCCCTGGAGAGGTTTCTTTGTTACCTGCCCTGCACGGGCTTCGTTTCTGCCCTGCAGGGGCTTCTTTTCTGCCCTGAGGGGTTTCTTTCTTGCCCTGGAGAGGTTCCTCTGCCACCTTGCAGGGGGTTCTTTCCTGCCCTGCAGTTTCTTTCCTGCCCGGTTTCTTTCCTGGTGTCCAGGGGCTTCTTTCTTGCCCTGCAGGGTTCTTTTCTGCCCTGCACTTTCCTGCCCTGCAGGGGCTTCTTTTCTGCCCTGTGCAAAAATAGCAAAGTGTTTTGTTCTCACTGCGCAACAGTGAATGAGGTGTCCTACAGTGCTAGTGACTGAAGGTTCATTGAAAGTTGAATTCATGCTGAGGCCGTGCAGAAGCAGAAGCATAATATCAGGTCTGAGAGACTGACAGGTGGCAAGGGTGCAAAAACTGTCAGTTAAGTCTACAAGAAAAGGATTCAAAGGTTGGGTATATTTTCTGAGAGGATTGCGTTTGCTGTTTGAGGTGTGGTGCTTGGCCAACTTCAACAGTTGTTTTGGACTCAGTATTTGAATCAAAGTCAATTTGTACTGACTGGCGCGGTGCCCTGCAGCATTGTCAAGAAACTGTCAGATCTAGTATGGGTCTCTACCGAATAGTTTCATGCTGTCTAAAAGTGTTGAAATGTAGGGTGATGACTATATCTCTTGACCTTGCATTGTGGCGGACGTGGTTTCGGTTGCAAGGTCAAATTGCGATAAGAAGGTTGTCGCAGCTTGCCATCTGTCTTTGTCTCAGAGCAGAAATTGAATTGGTGACTTGTTGGATTCGCAGAATTAATCAGCAATTCAATTGGTTGTAGAAGTTTGTTCTAAAACGCAATGCAAGAGTCTGTTTGGATGTCTTGATGCCTCACTCAATAATAATAGGCCTTAACCGGCTCAAGGAAACAGGTGACTCGACTAGTCAGTTCTAAGATGAACCGACTGCCATCAGAGCATGACTTTCTTGCTCTCCAAGAGATCAGTGAAGGTAAGAGTAAAGTGAATGACCTCGTGTTGCACTACAGTTCCAGCAACTGGTCAGCGCCAAAGGTGAAGCCCTTCATCAAAAACCTTCCTGCTCGTGGTTTGGTCACCCTTTTCCTTTTGGACAACAGGAAGGTTCTGTGTCACTTTGAGCATATTGGCAAGGGTGCGCACAGAGATGCCTTGAAAAAACACGCGAGAGCGAGAACACAATGAAGAAGGTCTCCGTGGCATGCGAGGTCTCCGTGGCAATCATATGCAAGA